GTGTTGACGAGGTTTACCCCGCGAAAGCGCCCCGGAGCTACCGTCCCCACGCGATCCGTCCAAGCTGCTCCAGTCCAGCCACGGACCCACCCTCATCATATCACGCCTCAACTGTCAACTGCCGACCAACACAATCTTGCGCAAGCACCCAGACGCGTTACCATGGCCACTCCGATTCCGAGACGGCTGCGTGACAGTGCGGGAAGGGGACGGCACAGGCCCGACTGCTGGCTCCCATTTATATGAGCTCTCGCCCCAGACCGTGTCAGATATGAATTTCGCAGCTTACTTTGCTTCGAGTCTACTGTTACCTGGGTCCCGGAACGCATCTCCCGCTACAAGCTAGATCGGGTTACACAACATGCTGGCCAACGAGCTCCTTCCGCTGCTTGTGCGGTACTGGCCGCTTGTACTGGCAACAACTACCATTGCATATCTACTCAACAACAAGTACTGGAAAGGACTGAACAAGTACCCAGGACATTGGGCGGCCGGATATTCCAACTGGTGGCGGTTATGGGATGTGTCAAAGAAGAACCATCAATGGACCAACCTCGCGTTGCATCGCAAACATGGCGACATTGTCAGGTTAGGCCCAAACGTTCTGTCTTTTGCGGATCCAAAGGCTATCAAAGCCATCTATGGGCTTAACAAGGGCGTCTACAAGGTATGTAAATGCAGATAGGTCTGTTGGACGATAGCTAACTCTTCCAGTCTGACTTTTACCCTGTCCAGGGCGCCGTGTCCAAGGGAGCGCCGCTCCTCTCTCTCTTCTCCACCACCGACGAAGACTTTCACGCAAAGTACCGCCGATGCGTCAACAATGCCTTCGCCATGAGCTCGCTCGTCAACTACGAGCCTCTCGTTAGCTCCACACTCACATACTGGCTCGACAAAACCGAGGATATGTTTGCCAAGACTGGGCAGAGCTGCAACTTCAGTCAATGGTTGCAATTCTTCGCCTTTGACGTCATCGGTGAGTTGACATGGAGCAAGCGACTGGGTTTTGTCGAAGGAAACAAGGACGTGGACAACATTATCGGCTTCTTGGGCAAGTTCTTCGACTACGTTGCACCGGTAGGTCCTCACAAGCAGAAGCCATCATGGTCATTTCCATACTCACATCTCTTTAGGTCGGTCAAATTCCCATCCTCGACCGTCTTCTATGGAAGAACCCCATCAGCCTCTTTGCCCAGCGCATTGGTCTAGATAAGCGTGTTCATCCTGTCACCCTCTTCGCCCTGAACCGCTCCAGTGAGCGCGCTACCCAAGTCGAAAAGATCAAGCGCTTCGGTCTTTCCGACGACGAAAAGGCCAACCCTCATGGTATCGACCTCCTCTCCAAGTTCGCCCAAGCAAGCCATGATCACGAGTTTATGGACGACAACCGCATCCTATCAACCTGCACATCTATGGTCTTTGCCGGTTCGGAAACGACAGCCATCTCGCTTTCAGCTGTCTTCTATTTCCTTGTCAAGCACCCACGTGTATATCTGAAGCTCATGCAGGAGCTCGACACCGCTGTAGCAGACGGAACTATCGAATCTCGTTCCGACAAGACAGTCTCTTGGCCCGAAGCCCAGAAGCTTACCTATCTTGACGCTGTCGTCCAAGAATCTTTCCGACTTCACCCTGCACCTGGTCTCATCCTTGAGCGCGTCGTGCCTAAACAGGGCATGCAAATCTGCGGCGAATTCATCCCTGGTGGCACGATTGTCGGCTGTAACCCCTGGGTCGTACAACGTCGACCCGAGGTTTTTGGTGTAGACGTTAATACATTCCGGCCCGAGCGCTGGATTGAGGCTAGCCCGGACAAACTCAAGGAAATGAAGGGAACCATGTTGCAGTTCGGCGCTGGGGCTAGAACATGTATCGGAAAGAACATCAGCCTCTTGGAAATCTACAAGCTGGTGCCAAGCTTCTTGCGTAGATTCGAGATTGAGCTTGAACAACCCGGTGCTGAGTGGAAGACACATAACGCGTGGTTTGTCACGCAGAAGAACTTCAACACGGTATTCAGGCCAAGAAGAGGGTCACCGTGAGTAGCATAGGTTGTTGTTTTTACAGCGTTCTAGCGTAATGAGCATATGTTTTTGCATCTACTACCAACCAAGTGTCGTGATTAGCGAAGTATAGCCTGAAAATGTTCGCCTGATTCATACAAGAGCTCTACCCCCTAGGATCATCTTGGGAGTCGCTACGTCTACTCCGCCCGCTTCTTCTTCATGCCCACCTGTCGCTTGCCCATTACATCTCTGCCCTCCTCTATACTCAACAAAGCTTCGCGCTTCTTCTCAGTTACAGGCTTGAGCGCATCTCGGACGACTCTGCCTTCAACGCTAACACCCTCCTCCTCAAACTCATCCATCTTCTTTCCCACACGCGACTCAATCGCCAATACAAGCTCTACATCCCTCTGTCCAATCAAAGTGATACTCGTACCAACCCTCCCAGCACGCGCCGTACGACCGACACGATGGATGTAATCATCCGGATCACGGGGCACATCGAAGTTGATAACAAGCGCCACCTCTGGAATATCCAAACCACGGGCCGCAACATCAGTAGCAACGAGTATCCTAGCAGCCTGCGCACGGAACCTAGCGAGGTTACCCACACGATCGTTTTGCTTGAGACCAGAGTGCAGTGCTGTGACGCGGTGATCAAGGAGGCGCAGCATGTACTCCAGGAGCGTGGCTGTCTTTGTACGATTGCAGAATATAATGACACTCTTTTTGCTATTCTCTGGTGTGTTCAACAAGACGTGAAGATAACATTCCTTGTGCGTAACTGGCGTTTGAAGGTACTTTTGCTGCAGTCTTGGTGGAATTGCTAAATCCTCGGTATCGACCTCGGAAACGAAGATTGGAAGACGGCCTGGAGCTCGGGGCTGGGATTTGAGTGCCAGGACCTCGGGTGTCACGGTGGCAGTAAATAGAAGGGTTTGTCGTGTTTCCTTGGGAGGTAGAGCGGATAAACAGGTCTCGAGATCGGGCAGCATGGAGCCTTTGCCTGGAGCGAGTAGACGATCGGCTTCATCAAAGACAACAAAGCGCACGCGACGGAGACCACAGATTGTGTCCTCGCCCGAGGTGCGGATGTGCTCTGCTAGCCGGCCTGGTGTTGCAATGACGACGTGGGGTCGTGAGGCCAGAGCGATGGCTTGGGAGCGCTGGTCTGAGCCTCCGGTAATCAGAATGGGTTTCATTGATTGTGGCGCTGAAATTGCTTTCACTTGCTCGTAGATCTGGATCGCGAGCTCGCGGGTCGGTGTGACAATAACGGCGAAGATACCACTAGGATCCTCCGCCCATTTCTGCAGAATCGGTAACGAAAATGCTATAGTTTTACCTGTACCAGTTCTTGAGCCACCGATACAGTCTTTCCCCTTGAGAATCTCAGGAATACAGGAGGCTTGGATGCCAGTTGGGCGCTTGATCTCCATGCTTGCGAGCGACTTGACGAGCCATGGCGCTACATTGAGTGACGCGAAATCCAGTTTAGGATTGGTTTTCGGTGTGGTTCCAACAGATCCGGCGGATTTGGCATCGTTTGCCGACGCGTTTTGCTGCTTTGCTTTGATGCGCGAGATTGATGAGGCTGCGACTGGTAGTGGTTGGACAACTTCAGCTTCGGAAGCCGAGCTTACATCCTCGGTCGGCGACAGTCTCCTTCTCTTCCTAGCTCCGGATTGTGCCTCGAGAATTTCCTGGTCGGATGCACCAGAATCACTGTAATCGGAGGTCGCCATGATTGTGGTTGATGTTTCGCATGTATGTCGACGGCTCAAGTTCGAGTTGTCTCCGAAATTTTGTGCAGGGATCAATCGCGCTAGTCTTATCGATACGGCTACGGAAGCTTCTGCTTTCGGATTCGCACTGGGTCAAAACTTTGCGAGTTATATGGCCTAGATGTCTACAACGGGTGCGATCGATTGTTGGAGACGGAGCTATACTTTGATGCTTTGCAGAGCTAACTGCCGACCTAGAGCCTATCTCACCCGTCCATCTCTTTTATACCTACAGCAACTCTCCCCACAAAGACAGCTCTTATCTAACCCAGCCCAATACTTGTCCCCATAATCTAATGTAATCTCCTTTCCTGCGTCTATCCCCTTACTGACCAATACCACCCTTTGTGTGTCCAGCCAGGTAAAAGTGGAGGATTGCGAGTTCGGCTTACAGCTATGGTTGATGAAGCGCGTGAAATTTCCTGCTCTGCCTTGCCAGATCTGATAATTAGCCAAGGGTGTTGAACTGTCCAACACGTCAAGATGTCTGACTCCGTTTGTTATCAATCCAACGAGCTCGCCGACGGCCGTTCCCCGATCGAACGACGTCAACGCTACGAGGCCATTATTTCTGCCGTCCGGCGTCCTGACAATTTGAACGGGTGGTGGCTTTCGCTTTACACAACCAAAAAGGGTTGGAAAACAGAAACATGAGTTGTCCTGTGGGTTGTCGGATTGTGGCTCGTTGCACAAAGCGCAGATGTACACTCCACCTGGTCTAGCGACAGCGTTCGATTGTGGCGTCCATCGTGGGTCTTCGCATCCCCAGACCGATTCATCAATGATTGACTCGTCGATGTGTTCAAAAGCAAAATATGGATCGTGAAGCTGATATGTTTGGCGCAAGGGTACGGGATCCGACCCGTCCTCAAAAACAACCCAATCGTGCGGGTGTCCAGGGTATTCGAGGGTTTGCGATTCGCCCACGATCGACAACAACTGGCGCCAGTGGGGATGTAGGGTATCGGCTGCGACTTCGAGACGTTTTCTCAGGTTCCGTAGCCGGCGCATCGCATCTTTATCAAAGCCCACTCGGTATTTACAGAATCGATAAATGCCCATGCCAGCGAAGACAAGTGCAGCCCAACCCGCTGCGTCTTTTACTTCCTTGTAACCACGCCAGATGGCCATTTTGTTGCGCAATTCCTTTCTGTTATCGTATGGCGGTTAGCGAATGCGATGTACCGTGCGCGATGGCAAGTATTGGGACTTACTCAGACCAGTCGAAGTCCTGGCACGCTTCCATAAACACAGCTTTCCTGTGCTTTGTCGTAGACAGGTCAGGCCTCGATTGGCTCCGATATTGTACCTGCTCCTCAAAGAGCTCGACCCAGCGAGCTTGTACAATCATTTCTATTGACCGGCACACACGACTCGCTTGTGTGACCTTGCGACAGAAAACATTCATCTGACTGAAGGATTCGGATTTCGTGTTCGAAGTGGTAATGGCTGCTGATGGCTCTTCCGTTTGCGTTTGTCGAACCACACCCATGGAAGATCCATTGGGAGATACCTGGAACTGTTCGAATATAGCTTTCGGGTCGAGGTTGAGTGTACTGTGTACTTGCTCCCAAATTCCGATGATAAGCTTGTCTAGAGTGGAAGGCTGGAAGACAAACTTATCAGACGCTACCTGCGAATGGTCAGCCAAAGACCTCTAAGATACTTTCTGGTGCTGGTATGGCCTAGAGACACGAGCTTCTTCGGACGTGGAACGCTGGTAGAGGCATGCAACAACAACCCGATGATTCTTCGATGAGATTCCAGCGATTGGCGGGAAATACGATATCGCCTGGCGAAGTCAACGTACCTTTTTCCGCTTGGGAAAGCTTCGGCTATCCACCTGCATTTGGCGTTGGTGCTCGGTCAAATCTTCTTGGAAAGAGGACTGGTTCTGCGACACCCTCAGACCGCCAGTACCTTTTCTACGGGTATCGCGGGAGTGTTGTTCCGATGGGTACGGGTCGTCCCGGGGATTAGACTCGTCCATCGACGATGACTCCTCATAGTCGTTAGAATCTACCGGCATTGGACTTTGTGTGGGGGCCGGCGTTCTCATACTCGCCAGATCGACGGTTCTCTACGGACGTGTAAGCATACGCTACTGCACACGAGCAGTTTAGGTGTGGTGGGAGCATAAACGTACCGACGCGACCCTCTCGGACTGCGCTCTTGTTGCATGGTTCGCATCGGCCTCTTCGAGGAAAGCCTCCACGCGAAGGATGGGATGGTCAAGGTTGTCGAGCTGTGGCCACGCGATATTGATGTTCAATCTGGCAAGATGGTCCTGGATGGCCCGACCGATGCATTCGGAAAGCCCATCGATATCCTGGAGGCCGTTCATCTTAAGGGAATGCCTCGACAGTACCTCGCTAAATTGATTAGATCTGCGGACTTGACACCGGACGCTAAGAAGCTTGAGCAGTCCGCGAGCAGATGTGTGATATAACAAGCTCTACCACGATGTCCACTAGGAAAATTACTGCGGAGGTAGCTCCGTATAATGAAAACCACTCAGGACGCGAAACAAGATTCGCTATGGGCGTGAGGTAACAAGACGTCTGTGAGGTAAGAGAAAGAGGCGCATCCGTCCAAATGTCGGAGCTTTCATGGACTGAACAAGCTGTCCGAAGTATATCCGGGTCGAAAGTCGCAGTGTCGCAACACTGTACACGGCTTCTATATGCCGCGATGGTGGAACGCGGAACCGTGACGATATTGATGGAAATTCTGCTCAAGCAGCAGATGAAGCCGGAGTTTGATTAGGAACGCTCTTAACCAGGTGCGGTATGGTGCTTGGCTTCAGTCATACACTCGGCGACGAATGCGCGTGCAGACAATATCTCAACCAATCAGAAGAATTGCTGCGGCTGCACGTAGCCACTCGAACGTTGGTTGCAGTCGCAAAGTCGGTTCGTGGTAGGCACGTTGCTCTAGGTTATCGAAGATGCTGCTCGATGATGCCTGGGCAGTCAGAAAAAAGCCGCAGGGCTGATGGTGGTCCCAGCATGGCACGGGAACTAGCCGTCACACTAACTACATGCTCCATGCTCTCCATTCCGGCAGACGTCACCGAACAACCAAACGTTGCCTCAACAGAAAACGTGACTATCGCGACAGAACAACAAAGCATTGCAGAAAGCGCAGAGGCGGTCTCATCAGATGAGCTTTCGCAATTATCTGTACATCTGTATCTACGATGGCGAAGGTTGCTATCGAACAACTCAATGCGCAAGCAGTTCGTCTCTCAACGGCGAAAACCCGTCTCCACAAATGCCAAGCGATGCTATGGCATTGTTTATCGTAGTGCGCCGGGTCTTGTAATTGGACTTGCCTCCGCGTATATAGACTGGGCGGTCAGGGTCTGAATCAAGCTATTTACATATCACTTGTACCGATTGGTACCCTTCAACTTCAATTTGTGCGGCTTCGCATCTCTTACACATCTGTCGTTTTATTAGTGCAACCCCCCACCCTCATCATAATGGAGTCGTCAGACGCCAAAGATTCGAGTAACAAGGAGAGATTGGAAAGAACCGCGACACACGAATCATACACCTTCCAGGGCGCGAAAGGATGGCAGAGATGGCGCATTTTACAACCCGGACGTGGCATGTATCACGATGTCAAACGCAGATTACCATACTACTGGAGTGATATCACCGATGCACTTACCTATCGAGTCTTTGCTAGTACAGTTCGTATGTACTTCGTCAAGTAAGTCTACTCAGTGGAATGCTCAAGACATGTACTTACAGATCCAGTGTTCTACCTGCTATCGCTTTCACGCTCGACATGTACCGCCGAACTGGCGAGTTCTTCGGTATCAATGAAGCTCTCTTCGCCTCCGCTTTAGCAGCAATGGTCTTCAGCCTCTTCGCTTGCCAACCTCTCACCATTGTGGGCGTCACTGGTCTTATCGCCCTCTTCAACTACACCATCTTCGACATTATCACTCAGTATGATCCTCCCATCTATCCAGCCTTTACCGCATGGGTCGGTATCTGGGCTGCCATCTTCCACTGGATCGTATCCTTCGGCAACTTTAGTGACTACATGGCTTATGTTACCGACTTCTCAAGTGAGACATTCGGCATGTATGTCGGAATTATCTATTGCAGTACGTATCTAGCAACTAGCCAAACATAGTTACATAGCTGACACATCCATAGTCAAGGGTGTGGAAGAACTGGTTTACCTCTTCGAAGTTTCCGAATTCGATGGCGGCTACCTTTCCATCGTTATCGCCATCTGCTACTTTGCCTCCGTATACGGCCTCGAGAAGCTTGGAGGAAGTACATTGTTTGGTCCAGGCGTCCGTGGTATCCTCGCTGACTATTCCTTCGTCTTTCCAACTTTGTTCTGGGTCGGCTTCTCACACATCCCCGGACGTTTGGAGAATACTGGCCTGTACCGAGTCCCTATTACAGGCGCCTTTGAGCCGACGCAGGACAGGAATTGGGTGATTGACTTCTGGAATCTGGACGTCAAGTGGGTATTTGCAGCATTGCCATTTGGTTTCCTGATGATGCTGCTTTTCTACTACGACCACGTAAGTTTTGTACCCGTTCCAAAAATGATACATGCTAATCTACCACGATAGAATGTTTCATCTCTTACAGCACAAGCCCGTCAATATCCTCTGAAAAAGCCCGCTGGCTTCCACTGGGATTTCTTCCTTCTCGGCTGCACATGCTTTGTTGGCGGTGTTATTGGCCTTCCCCTTCCCAACGGTCTCGTACCGCAAGCACCTGTGCATACCGACTCTTTGACAGTTTACGAAACGAAACTTGAAGTCACCAAAACGGAGGATGGCGGAGAAATCCGTAAGCCATTTATAGAGGCTACCGCCGTTGTTGAACAGCGTGTCAGTCACTTCTTGATGGGCATGGCTATTTGGGGTACTATGACCGGTCCTTTGCTCACGGTGTTACACACTATGCCTGCCGCCGTCTTCGCCGGTGTGTTCTTCGTTGTCGGTGTACGTACCTCTACCGCCACTCGTTCCTTCAACATGCTAACTCTTCTGCAGTGGGGTTCAATCGAATCTAACGGTATCGTCGCCAAGACCCTCTACCTCATGTCCGAAAAGCGTTTTATCCAACGCGATAACCCGCTAAATACCGTCTCCCGCAAGAAGATCGGACTTTTCATTGGCATCCAGATCTTTGGTGTCGCATGCACAGTTGCTATTTCGCAAACTATCGCCGCTATCGGATTTCCCGTACTCATCACCGCGCTTATTCCGCTACGCACTTTCTTGATGCCAAAATGGTTCACAGCACACGAGCTAGATGTTCTAGATGCCCTAACGGCAGACAATCCCTCGGTGCTTGTCAGCTTCGGTGGAACGCCGAGTGGCATGAAGGCTGGTGGACCTATGGAAGGCGGTGCTGGCGGCCCTCGTGATGAGGAGGCACTCGCACACCCGCATCCTGCCCAGCGTCAACGCGCTGGAAGTATTCACCGAGATGAATAGTTGAAAATGGGAATGGCCACGGTTTAGAAAAAATTAGTGATTGAGCGAGGAGATTTGAGATGACGATTAAAGGTTTATTAGAGAAATATTCGCTTCATGTAGATAGGCTGCGTAGCCTTCAAAGATATTTAATGTATTACCATGTTGGAATTCAATCTTCCTAGCACCACTTCAAACTCCGGCGCTTACTTAGAGACATATTAATTGCGCTCTTGTTTCTTCCTTGCTGCAGGGGTTTTCTGCGCCTCACTCACCCTTCCCGCCCTCTACTCCTTGTATGTCTCCGTTCCAATAACCCACATCCCCATTCACACCCGGCATCAACAGCGCGCTCAAGATCCCTCATATCCGGCATCGAAACTGAGGGTATAATCTTCAAGACTTTGTCATGTATTGCCGGTACATCAGACCCCTCAAAAACTCGATTCACTCTTCCAGAAACCTCGTCAGATGCTTCTTCAACTAACGCACGGAGCTTGTTACACAGCGCTTTGTAATCAACGGCCGTAGGGTGTGTTAACGCGTGAAGTGACTCATTACGCCATGTACCGTTTGGTGATGAAGGGAACAGATGGGCATGGGATGGGAAAGCCTCTGTGTCAAATTCGGATAGCGATGTGTGCTCGGGGTCAGAGCGGGATAATTCTGCGGATGCAGGAGAGAAGCCTTCAAGAGATGGAATGTAGGAATGGACTGCTATCAGCGCTGAGGTATCCTCATTGACGACCTCCCATGAAACAGACTCTTCTTCTGGTGGTGGAGAATGGGAGGCGGACGCAGAAGGAACGGAAGCTGGGGAGGATAGTGGTGATAGCTTTGCGGTGGGAACAAGCTCCCAGGATACCAAACTGTGAACTCTTGGACGATTGAATGCCTCTGAAGAAGTGGAACGCGCTCGGGAATGACATGAAGCGGTAGCTGGTCGCGGCGGTAGCGTGGGTGCATTACGACATTGCGATGTCGACGCAAAAGTCGACGAAGGCCTAGAAAAGAACAACATTTGTGCGGTCTTTATACAATTTTCAAGCTTTTTTCCGCCAAATCTGGCGTGATCGGCCTATCGTTCCGTTTGCTCGTGTCGAGTGCTCGTATTAGGAAAGCGAGTTGAGATTTGCTAAACGGTTTGTTTTACGCGCTGATTGTGTATAACGAGATAAAGAGCATAGAATGGAACCAAGCGTTCAAAGCTTGTGCGCGACAGTGTGGGGAAGGAGTCGGCGGTTGTTGTAAGGCCATCATGTCCTACCTAAGTAGCTTGCAATATAGTGAATGACGGAACGTCGGTGAAAAATTGTGAAGTGAAAAACCCGCCGCATCAGGATATTTGAAGAGTCAATTCTTTGCCTATCGACAGATTCTTTCCAAATTAGTGACCTATAGAAGATTATCACTCATTCCTTTCTCGCCTTGCAAGACGGAAGTGAAATGCTGCTCGCCGTGCAAAGCAAAGCTTATATTCGCATGGTCTTGATGGCTGTTTACGCCTGGATGAGAAACTGTTTCCTAAATGTTATGTTGTCGTTCGTACATCGTGCTCAGTCGCTATGGTTTACTGTCTTGGCTGTTGAAAGAAGATGAGTGTTCAGATCTGAGTGCAGTGGATCACATCTAGACCGCTGGGAGCAAACAAACATATTTATAGGTAAGGCAGGCTATTTTTTATGCACTCTCCATTCGAGAATTGGAGCCGCTTCAGACATCACCAAATATAATTCGAAATTCGATGGGGATCTCCACCGCCTAGCTGGTACCACTAAAGACTAATGACGAACGAAGTGTTCACAAGCCATATATAGGCCGGTGCAAATGCTGAGCAGGATATTTGCTGTATTGTGTAGACATCGTGACTGATAATGAGAAAGAAACTGAGCGTATATGACAATGCATCATCCTTACCAGGTCGGCGAAGAGGTAGCAGCTATAGACAAAGCATCGCCTATACTAGAAATCTCCATCGGGTTTGGTCACGAGCTTCACTTGAAGTCATTGTACAGTTAGGGCAACAAAGAAAACCGAAGAGTAGGTATTAGGCAGAGGAGCACGTCTTCAAATACGTCCAAATTGCTCGACTTGCAACCGAGGTATGATACCATGGATGATATAGGTATCTCCCAGTATCAGGGTTCGCTCAATTCTGCTTTGTATGTCCGACGGTCAGAGTTTGTCGTGTTCCAACATGAGCTGAGCGAAGCTGTCAGTATTGAATGTTATGACTGTCGGACCGAAAACTCTAACACACGGTGTCGCGCCGTTGCACCGAAGTTATATTGAATCTCCATGCATCCATATGTCAAGGAGATATTCTCCACATATTTGCACACGTCTAGGGTATGTAACAAGTCAACGAGTCGACCGAGAAGGACAAAGAGTGGCTTTGACCTTGACCCTTACAATGCAACCGACATCACCCAGACGTGTCAAGTTCGTTGTACAGAGCGATATCGTGATCAGTTTCGATACGACTGGTACGCATTCATTTCCAGCGAAACATGGGTGCCGAAGCTAACCTCGTACGATACACTTAGCCGCATACTATAACGAGCGAAACTTGCTGCAGGTGTCCAAAAGCGAACATTATGTAACGATAGTCCAACCGCGGATATAAGGGACAAGATACCGCGTAAAGCTGTATCAAATGGCTGAAGGAAGCATGGCGCCATTCTAACTCAGGCAACAAGAGCGACGTATGTGATGTGGCGCGAACGGATCTGGCGGCGAGTGGGGATGACTGCGATGAAACCTGGCTGATTGAAAGATGTTGTTGTTTCTTTTTTACGTGTGGGCGCGCTGTGGACAAAGCAACGTGTTGGGTACTAATATCCCTGCCAATATCCTCATCCAAAAGCACAACCCTTCTGACGACTTGTCACGCTTTCCAGTGACATCATTCACGCCTCTGACGCTTTCCCCGCTGTCCTAAATGTCGACGAAACTGAGATTGAAATAGTGTTGTGTTCTTTGAGGTACCTCCCCACCTGTTGGAGTGCTGATGTGTAGATAAAGTTCCGCAGAATTTGCTACTCATGACAAACTACTCAAACGAAGTCCTTGGGTAGATCTCGCAATTTGGGTTTGACCTCCGTACGTGTCTTTACTATCTCAACATTCATGATGTGGTTGCGGAAATTAGGTACTCTAGATTCGTGCAAGGTAGTCGCGTTTGTTTGATAGAGGTAAGACACCTAGACGACAACTTTGCCACCTGTAGACTCGACGACGGAGTTTACATCGTCTTTGAGCTCTGGTATCGCGCTTGAGACGTGCAGGGCGAGCTGTTCTTGCAGGGCGTGGTAAGCGTCAACGCGACCGTACAACATCTGGTTCATTCGCTGCACGGTCTCAACAAATTCGCGAGTGAAGATGTCCGGGTTCCTAGAGTTTTCTACATAGGACATGACCTCTGGAGGGATGTTGATGTTCACCGAAGGTGCCGTTCTTGCCAATTTTACCAGATTTTGAATAAGCGACTGGCTATCATGTCATTAGCCCACCATACAACGCATGTTCCTGAGCTATTGCGTACATTTCTCGCTTCATGGCTTCCTGTGTCTTGCTTCCATGGTGGTCGTAAGCTTGCACGATGAGGTTGTATAGATTTTGTACGATGTCTTTCAGTTGCGCCTCCACATCGATTATCGCCACTACCAAAACGATTAGCAGGAGCAGAAACAACGGCTACCCACATACCGTCGGGACTTAGTGCTGCCATTTGGATGTTTGAAGTGAGCGGCGCTGTGAGGTTTGCTAGTCGGAGGGCGGGTGTTGTGCAACGCGTGTGACAAAGAACAGACGCGCCAAGGCTCGGCTAAACACGGAAACTCTGGTTGGCTTTGTGTCGTCATCGCTCACTTTACCCAGTATCTAACTCAACGACGACCTTCATCGAGACCGCGTCGCAGCGCGCTATCACGTGTCGCAAATCTTACTCAGTGAATGCGACCATGAGCATTACCTTGCGATGACGGAGAGCATGAGCCGGGATCCTGACGTCCCTCTTCCGCAGCCACCAAGCTCTCAAACCCCAATATCGTCTATACCAGGAGCCACTGGGAGCACTTTGCAAAACCATACTCGTGCTACGACTCGCCCAACAGAAACTCAAAAGACTCAAGTGGATACTGCTTCGGACAAAGCAACCGCAGCATTCATTCGGCGTACTCTCTGTTCCCACAATGTACTACTTGGAAACGGCGAGAAAGCACGCAGTACACCACGCCCAATCGGAGACGTGCTACCACCTCTGACAAGCTCAAATGAGGTCGATCTTCAGTTATACGGTATTATTTCTGTGATCATCAAGGAGTTCGTACAGACGTGGTACTCGAAGATAACTCCAGATCAAGTATTTGTCAACGAAGTGATTCAAATTATCGCTCACTGTACCCGTGGTCTGGAACAACGCCTCAGGAAAGTCGACCTGGAATCACTGTTACTAGACGAGATCCCTGAGCTGCTTGAAGCTCATCTGACATGTAGGTAGTTCCGACCCTGGACTGTCGCATGAACTTAGTCTAATTGTGCCCTGTCAGCTTTCCGAATAGCGAAGAATCAAGCCGCCTCGTCAAATTCACTGGTATCAGATCCTCGTCTGATCTATCATACGCTCCACCCACACCCTGCACTTTCTCCTGTTCCGACCGATGATGCACCAGCAACAGTCCTCGAGCAGCGCGAAAGCGAGTCGGCGTGGCGCCAACTCCTCATCCACGGAGTGTTGGCTTTATTGCTACCGACAGAAGACTTGAAGAATGGGTGTCTACGCGCCCTGGTGGCCGAAATTTTCGCCGAGATGATCCTCGGAAACGGCATTAGCGGCAAAGCCTGTGAGGGATGGGTATTATGGGAAGGCATCACAAGGATAGCTGAGGTTCTGCAGACCGATGCTACCAAAGAGAAAGATCCCCAGTCAGACGACCCTAACGCAGAACAGTCGTTGACCCGTCTTGAGCGTTATGGGCTGCTGTCTCCACACGGCGGGACAGAAGTTCATCCAGAAGAACGACTGGACGCCGGCCAGAATCGCCATAATACTCCGGTCGTATACACTTCTGGTGCATTCTGGGCGATCATCCAATACGCTTTTTTGGCGTTTACTGCGGTGCGCGCGGTGATTTTGAGTCTTGCGACATTATCTTCTCTTCCGTCAAGAATTGCCACAAGCGAACAGTCATCTGTTGAGGCCGGTAGCCAATCGCAAACACCTCAAGCGGAAAACATTGCTTCCAGGCGCCCGTTGGAGGCCAAACGGCCTGTAGTCAGCATGGGCTTGTGGAGCTGTGTAGCGCAACTTGTCGAGTTAGATGTCCGCATGCCTTGGCTGTTGGGCTTCATCTCCATGCTCCATCGTGGAGCGTTGGCCGGCCCAGGTAGGGTGGGTGAAACCGATGGTGTATTGGACAGGTAAGTTACGATAATATCTCTTTCTTCACTTGCTTCCCATGGTTGGCTGGCTGCTCAGTGTCTGTGGGACCGTGCGACACAGCATGAGATAGCTCCGCATACGATTTCAGTCACTTGACTTCGCTTCAGCGAATGCGACGGCCCGCAGGCTCACACACAGGAAAATCCCTGTCGTGGCGCACCGCCTTATGCAAGCCTCGGCACCCGTTCCGGGCGGCAACTCGACACGTTTCGGACAAGGGGGCTTGGCGCCATTTGTGTCTTCGATTTTGTCAACACCACAAACGATCGCACGATGCTTGCATCTTAGTAGGACCAATCCTAAAGCTCAGCTTCCACCGGCAGCTACAGGGCACTATAGCGTACGAAGGGTATTCCGTACTCCGAACCGCCTTATCACGACCCTAGCTTATGTGGAAGGGCCGCTTACGCGCCGGTTGATCTGTCCACACCGTCCATCCGTCCCTCTCGGGACTGGCCTTACTGAGCTCAAGACACGAGATTGGCCACAGATCCTAACCCTACCGTCATTGCCGCCACCAGCTGATTGCGCCTCATCTTTCGGTCTCTAACATCTTAGCGGCCTGCGACGTCGCTGCCGTCATACTCTGGTCTCGTTAGAAATCCTAGCGAGCACGCACTCCTCGGACTTAACATGGCCTAGTTTGTTTGAGCACCGCATCGAAACATTTGACGGATGATGCTATTCCCAAACGTTCGGGACTGGCTTGTTGACCTAGTCACCACGACATCCTGCCTTAAGTTGTGTTGTGGCATGATCATCAATCTCGCTTGACATGCGCGCGCGCCTCACTTTGTGGGCCGCATCAGCATTCGACTCGATTCTCGTCCGATACGATGATTCTGCCATCATGGACATCGTCATTCGCGGTGGCCAGCTGACTGTTCCGCGGATTCATATGCATGCGTTCGGTTTACTTCGCACCAGTCCATTTCGTTCTTGCAAGTCTCGTTTGCTAACCAGTCGTAATTGCAGGTTCCTCGCTCATACTTTCCACACACGGATCTTGAACCCCGCTTTCATTCCAGTGGCGCTTCGCACTCTTCGTGCAACACTCTTCCCTAACAATGCGCTCGGGCCCCCACGTCAGATCCCAACTGATGAGGAGATCGAGGCGATCAAGCACTGTTGTGCCGCTACGCTGCTAGACTTAGTACCACCTAAAGTAGCAGCCGCTTTCTTCGCGAGTGACGGACGCGATACTCAGGTTCGACAGATCGAAGATATACTAGGCTGTCTTGATGACGCCTATCTCAACAAACATCTCGTCTTTCAGATTGTGGAACTGATCGGACTACGCCTGTTTCCGGAGCTTGGAGAACAAGGCGTCAAAGACTTACTGGACGAACGTATCAGCTGATAACCTGGGCTTGTCAGCAAAGCGTTTCTACGTCGTGTATCGGGGATCAAAGCACAAGACATCAGGAACTTTCACCGCCAGATGCGCGAACTGCTGGGCACGGCCCGTTGCGCAGTCAATATCGTCGTTCACACCAAGTTCAAATGAGGGCAAATCTCCAGCCCTTGCATCGCATACCTACTTCCATGAAATCGTTATAGAGTAGTTCACTAAAGCAGCGAAACTGCAGCTACATGATGCAGTTCCACGTATACCAACTCATCGTGGGCTCGTAGCAGAACGTGGTGGAAAAGGTACACCGCTGATCTCGAAAAGAGGGGTACTAGCCAATCAGAAAATTCCCTAAGGAAATTGTTGAGGTACATGGCATCCAGACTCCGGGCTGGCTGCATGCTGTGACGAGCACCTGACTAATTGGGATATTGCCGGACGGAAACTACAGAGAAAGTGCCACGAGGTGCCCCGCAGTGCACGTCTTCCTTCAAGCCATTGCTTAGTCCAGCTGGCCCCATCACGAACGCTGCAGGTCTCAATCTTGGAAGTGTTGTACGCGGCAGGAAAAATACAACTCAAGTTCACCATGTGCGAATGGGAGGCTTGGACAATCTGCATGTCGCTCGGTGAGCGCGACGGTCCGTGTGGTGTATACATATGCGCGGGGATAAATCGCATACAACCGGGAGGCTTTGGAGAAGGATATTGGTTGACAGGCGACATGCGAGGCCAGAGCGTCGTGTGGCAGAGGAGTATGATTAGTCAAATACGGAATGACTAGGTGCGCAGCTCCGTTACAATCTTGACAATGGTTTACACTGCGATACCTACCGCGCGGTCCTTACGAGCATCGCAGAATTTAGACGACGTTGGGTCGTCCTTGCACTTGGTTCATCTAAAGTAGCGCTCCGAGCTCCAATACACCTTCACGTATCAAAATGAACCTGTCTAAGCCCCGCTTCCTCCTGCATTCAAGCCCCCACCTAGCGAGATATGATAAGAAACTTGGTTCGGGAACGATCATGACTGCGGATCATGTTTACCGCCGTGCTCGCTGTCGGCAGCTCCGTGCGAACCCATGTTTCGAGGTCAAATATAACTCAGCCTCACTTAGGCGATGTATCAACCGTGGGGTTTCAGTAAGTGAACATCGCAGAAGCGAGGGTGGGCTGAGAAGTTTAAAGTGTCAAAAGGTTACCCCGCATGCGCCCCCAGCCCGTAGCCGTCTATCTGTTATCGCTTCCGCAAGGGTTGCGGTTCCTAACAAGTTGGCAACACGTTCCTGAACAGCCTGCCGCTAAGGTGTTTCAAGATTCGGTTGGGCAGCAATTGCGCGGAACATAACGACGATCGAGTCAGCCTTCTCTGCTTCCTTTGCGGCACAGTTGTTCTGCGTCTTGAGGATTTTATTCTTTCTGATCCTATCGAATAACGCGCGCTTTGTGGGCGCGTGCGTAGGATTCAGGTCGCCGCTTATTGCCTGCTTCGAGACACCACTGTCGCTGATGCTGGGTTCTCGACTGACTCGCTACCCTGGATGACCGTTGAAACTTTAATCCTCTGAACTCTAGAAGCAAGGCGAGGAACCCCTACACGGACCTAGTTCACGATGCCGCGGGATGCGCAACGCGAAAAAATCATGACCCTAGCAGCGCTCGCTACTCAGCATTTGACAAGATGCGACATCGCCTGTTCCTGAACCGCACGGGGTCCGGGGCAAGTGCGTCAGGATCCCTAGCGACAATGCCATCAACCCCAGCCACGTCGATCCAGCATCTACCATGGTTTGGTATCAAGCGAGGGTACATCAGGGGTTGCAATGGGCATCAATATTGCGAATATTGACCCATGTTTCAACGGTTAAAAGAGCTCGGAAGGTTAGTGCAGGGACGGCAGCGGGTGGGACTGACTCAAACATGCAAAACATCACCCGTAGTGGGCAATCATTACATGGTACCGAACTATCGTCATCCTGCGTAAGGCATGAAGACTCAATAGTGAGGCGTACGGCATATTCGCTTCAGCTGGTCTGGATGAAGCGGTAGGCGCATCGATAGTTTGAGTCGTTCCCAACGCTCAGCCTAAGTGAAGCGCAGTATGAGGAAAGGATGAGAGGTTCGCTTGCTACTGGGCGCATGAAGATGTTGTCAGAATGATAGCAACTGAAGATCGCAACACATCATGATTAATGCCAATACTACATGACTCCGAAGCCACGGCCTGTTCGGCAACGGAGGTGCCTGCAACACCAATTTATGCATCGGCCCGTGTTGGGAACTGAAGAACACTTCTGGAGCGACGGATGAGTGCATCTGACAGGAAGTGCAAGATTAGCGGGTACGTCAACGGCGGGCGGATGCGTTGTACTGTTGACTGTTCATAGCGATACAAATGGCTATCTCATGCAAGTTGACCACCCAAGCAATGTTACTCAATCCTGTCATGCAGTGTCGTTAGACATTGATACAATTGTCACAAGCCACCTTGTCGCACGTGACACTAGCCCTCAACATCGAACAGATAGCCCGACCAGCTGCGCGCAGTATTATGAGCAAATTAGAAGCAAGTTCGCGTGTTGGTACAACGTTGTCGCGAACACCTTACACCAGATAATTTGGTGATCACCTGTGCACCACGTCCCTCTCTTGCCTAGCCGGTCCGTACCGCGTTACACAGCATCAGATATCAATCACGTGGACCACCTAATGCAGGGCACCGCATGACCAGACAACCAACATGGCAATGACATTTCCATGCTTATCGCCAGCACATTGTGCATACACAATAATTAGCGGAAGAGAAAAGGGTCAGCCCCATACATCATTGGGCAGAAGATTCGAATTAAGGAAAGAAATAAAGTCAAGAGCTAGCAGTTTAACGTGACAATTGACTTTCGGGTGTAGGTTTCCTAGCTTCTTGCACTACAACCTGCCACCACTGCTTGACGTAGGCCCGAATACGAAGGTACTACGAGCCTTTCGGCCTTTCTGAATTTGACCTACGACTGGACCGGCGCCCGGATCCGGGGGGCCGATCATAGGTAACGCAGTGCTTCACCGATCGAAGGGAGGCTTTCGCAATCGCGTTGCGGGATACGATGCTGATGACGGTCTAGCCGTTGCGCGCAACACCGCAACTAACGACTTGGGGAGAGCTTAGAAGAAAAGGGCCGAACATAGTGAGATTGCGACAACCAAGTACAGATCTACCATTGCGCGTCCTTCATTCTACTCTTACTTTGCTTGTTTATACTCTGACATGTACGTAACACGCGTCGGGCTCTGCTCCTTTTCTTTTGCTGTCTGGATCAACTGCACAATGCGCAAGGCTGCTACTGCAACTGCGACCTTCGCAGGAAGTACATCCGGCATTTGAACAACGTGTAAGCCAGTGAACGAGCACGGTTGCGGTCCGAACCGGGACCGTACCGAACAGTAATGTAACGCAGAAAACAAAAAAGAAAGCAGAAGACGAGGAGTTTGACATCACACGGGAGAGAAAAAGTACCAATATAGTAGTACCTGCAAGGATGCCCGAAGATTTGGTGGTGGGGAAACCGACGACATTGTCTTCTTGCTTCTTTTTGCGGCTAGGGGAACTGGAACTAAAGTGGCGTTGCACGCCAACTGGCTTTGCTCTTGCTTTTTCGATAACGGAACGCAGGGTAAGAATCAAACGGGCTGCATAATACCCGTAATGCAAAAGTAACGGCTTTGTGAAAGAAGTAAAATAGCTCGAAACGTGGAAACACTGGTTTTCACCGGAAGTGTTCAATATGCTCCAACTGGCTTTACCACCATTCAGCAAGGACATTTCGAACTAATCACCATTTGATTAATTCCGGATATGGCTTCTTCCCCTAAACGACTCACAGCATGGCTGGAAGCTGGACTCGCATGACTGTGTCTTCTCAGGCCTAAGCTCACCTCAGCCAGCGAAAAGTCTAGTGCAGCCACACTCCGCCTCCGCGGCATGACAGGGTTTCGGGCGCCTTAACGTCGATTGCCTTGCCAAACCACCTTACTGATGGCCGGTGTCAACGCCAATCCTCGCTTCTCTGAGCTCTCGTCTCATCCCTGATCCAGATCGGGACAGCCCTTCGACAAGAACGAACGCGCAAACATTCCAGCTGAGTATGGCGCGCGCTCGGGGAAGACGGGAACGCCTCACGCTTGGGGGCATCTAGATCAGGCCCAACAGTTTGAGATCTGTGCTATGTGCTGGTCTGCGATGCTCGTCATCGATCTTTATGCATTTCGATTGCTGGCGCGATGGACATATGAATGTACTTTTGTATGCATCAAGGATGTGCAAGGTGCAAATGGAATGGTCCGAGCTCTGGGCTCCATGCAAAGGCGGGGAAGGGGATCAATGTTGCCGAATGAACCTGGAAGTCTCACATGCAATTCACGTTTTGGCAGTATCTAGGATGCAGAAGCTGGAACGAACGAATACTGCTTTTTGAGATCGGCATGCTGTCGGCAAGGTATTTTCCGAAGGTCAATGTTGTTTTTCGCCGGGCTTTGCCCAAACTTTGTTGCACATCCCTTCTATAACGGTATTGCAATACGATGCCGAAAGCGCCGTCACGGGGCTTAAAGCGGCAAGTACCATCTGTTCATGAGCCAGATCCTTGCCGATCATTGAAGTGTCACTCGTGCTCCATCAGCAAAAGGCTACGTTCGGGAAAGATCAGATCATGAGCAAGGCAAAATGACTAGTAAAATCAGAAGCACAGTCGTGTAGTAGTATTGAGCATTAATAGCATTTCAAGCGTGATTGACCCTTTCGTTAAGCCGATCTTTCGGCAAGGGTCGGTAACTATATCAGAAGCCCGCATATAGGTATACAGTAGCGCGTACGAGACCCATCGCTCCGTTTCAGCTCGATGCAACGTATGAGGGCCTCCAGGCGAATGTAAAATCGACGTTGAAAAGCAACAAAGTGAAGCGTACAAAATAGTGGCCCGCGTGAGCAGTTACAGTCTTCCTTTTAGGTAAGGGAAT